CACAGCAAGACGCCCCTTCCTCACAAGGAACCACCCTCCGCCGCCACTAGGAGACACAACTCAGCCTGTTGTTGTGACCCAGTTCTGGGTTCAAATCCTCCACCCACTGTAATGGTCCAAACTATGAAAACTAAGTTTGGGGACAAAGGAAATATTCCAAAATATTGAATGGTAGACTTGTAAGTGGGTTCAATTTTTTCATTTCCCAATTTTTTTTTTTTTACAGTTAGTATGTATTAACTGTTGTCTTTAATGAATATTTTTTTCAAATCCCAGTTCAGCCACTTACTGTGAAACCATGAGCGAATACTGTGTCAGGCGCTTCACTTTTCCATCTGTGGAATCAGGATATAATACTGCTTCCCAGGTAAGTGGCTGGATAATTATATACTACTACTTATCTCCACAGTTCTCAAACATTTTGTCCCAGAATCCCTTTTACCTTCTTAACAATTATTGAAGATCCCAAAGAGCTTTTGCTGACATGCATGGTATTGATCCATATTTACTGTATTAGAAAATAAAATGGAGAAACTGTGAATTTTTAACTCACTTCAAAATAATAAATGCAATGATAAACTACTGCATGTTACACTAAGTCACATTTTTTAGTGAAAAGAATTCTAGTTTCCAAAACCACATAATTTTAGTGAAACGAAAGGTATTGTTCTGCATTTGTGAGAGGCTTAATCGAAGCCAGCTGGATTCTGGTGTCTTTGCATTTGGCCAGTTTCGACCAAAGTGTGCGAAGAACTCCTGGAGCCTCATGGGGACCCCAGGTTGAGAAGCGCTGGTGCATGCTCACTCTGGCGCCCAGGGTCCAGCACGAACAGGAGCTATGCATTGGGCTGGGCAGGCGGGTGTGCCTGGTTTGGGCCCCCCCAGGGGCACTGTCAGGAGCACAGGGGTGGCCTTATACCAGGTCCCAGAGATAGAGACGTGACAAGATGAGAGACAACAGGTCGGGAGGTTGATGAGAGAGAATAGAATCGACCCAGAAAGGCAAACTTTGATTTGCTAAAAATATCCATCAGTTAGGCAGCTGCCCCCAACCCCTGCAACTGCCCCTCCCGATTCAAATCCACAGAAAGCCAAATGCAAGGCGCCCAGCCAGGATTGAGATGGCGCAATTAGACCATTTAAGACAAACTTTCAAAGCTCAGCCTCCCAGACATCTCAGACACACAAAGAAAATGTGTGTTCCGTGGACACAATGAGAAAAAAAATCCTTTTCCTTTTTTTGTTGCCCTTCCCTGTCCCTGCTCAGAGGCCAGAGAAGGGAAAAAATAAGCATAATTCAGCACAGATAAGACAAAAGTTTAACAACAAAGAGAACATCTTTCAGGGAGATGATTCAGCTACATGCAGGTAGGGAACAGCATTCCCCCGGGAACAGCATGCTGGGGTGCTGTCTGGCCCCTGAGTCCACAGAGGCCATGGGATGACAGGGGCCAGGTTGCGGGGGGCGGACCTGAAGGCAACCAACCACTCTCCGGGGTGGGAGGTCCTTGCTGAAGCTGCAGAGATTGGTGGGGGCAGCATCCCTGAGGCTGGAGAGGACCTCTTTTTGGTCAGGGATGGGTGACTGTCCTCCTTGACTAAGCCTCCAAGAGGCCCTCAGAGTCCGAAGGAACAGAATTTGCAATTGGCTATTGGAAGAACATAGTCCCATCACTCTGCCCAAATACACTTAGACTTGCCCTGGCTCAGAATGGACCAGGTGCCTTGCTCTCAATCAGAAGAGGCCACCAAATGTCAATCAGTTACTGACCCTCCACCACCTCCAACCTCTGCTGAACAAGCCAACTTCTTCCTAAGAAGGGTGCTTCTCGGGGCACCTGAGTGGCTCCGTTGGTTAAGCATCTGCCTTGGGCTCAGATCATGATCCCAGATCCTGGGATCAAGTCCCACATTGGGCTCCCTGCTCAGCGGGGAGCCTGCTTCTCCCTCTCCCTCTGCCTGCCACTCCCCCTGCCTGCCACTCCCCCTGCTTGTGCTCTCTCTCTCTCTGTCAAATAAATAAATAAAATCTTTAAAAAACAACAACAAAAAAAGAAGGGTGCTTCTCTTCCATCCAAGGGTTCTGGGCCCCAGCCTCCGGCAGAAAGGGACGTCCTGTAACTACACTGGATGGTAGCTCCCACCATGCAAGACAGACGCTTCCAGAGGGACAGTTTGGAAGGCTCTCTGCTCAGCTGTCATAACGAAATACCACACACTGCATGGCTTAAACAGAAATTTATTGTCTCACAATTCTGGAGGCTGGAAGTCTGATATCAGGGTACCAGCATGGTCAGGTTCTGATGAGAGTCCTTGCCCTGGCTTCTCACTGTCCTCCCATGATACAGACAGAAAGCAAGAGCTCTGGTATCTCCTTTACAAGGACATTAATCCTATCATGGGGGGCTCCGTCATCATGATCTCATCTAACCTAATTACCTCCCAAAGCCCCATCTCCAAATACCATCACATTGGGGGTTAGCACTTCCCTATGAATTTGGGAGACACAAACAGTCCATATCACTCCATAAGGCTCCTTCTCCGCTCTCCCCCCACAAGGGACCAGGGAGGCTGCTTTGCCATAAAACTCACTGCAGAGAAATGGACCAGGGCTGCCCCTGGGGAGGGGACTCCATCAGTGCAGCAGGCCCCCTGCAACAGGAGGTCCCGAGCATCCATAGCATCACCATTTACAGAGAGATGCTCCTGGAATAAAATGCTAAGCAGAGGGACTTTGTTTTGGGGGGATGGGGAAAAGAGAGGAGAGAATTGATATTTCATGTGACCCTAATGTGTCTGTAAGTCTGCCAGGCTCTCTGCACAAATATTTAATCATCACACAACGTCACTAGTAGATGGTATTACCCCCATTTTACAGATGGGAAAACTGAGTTCTCACAGCTGGGAAGTCATCTGTCCTATCCCAAAGCCATGTAATTCCTACCACATCATATTCCCAGAAGAACCAGAGACTTCCCCAGGTTGAGTGGGGGCCCCCCGAAGGGGCAACAGATTATTGGGGGTGGGGGGACAGAAGTAGAGTCTGGCTGATGGTCCTGACCAGAAGTGGTCATTCTTAGGAGGTCCCCTTTAGCTAAACTGAATTTAGCATGTCCTGTGAATTCCCTGGATTCTGAGTTGCTTTAAAATGTGTACTTGTTCAGGAAAGAGAAGAGAGTGGCCCGATTCCTGCTCACTCTCCCTCAGTGGCCTAAGGAACTGGCATGCTCTGCTCAGAGACTATCCCTGGAGGATAGTCTCACTCGGCTTACCTCTCAGGCAGAGCCCCCATCTGCAACCACCGGCAAAACATCTTTTCATGCGAACATGTTATAGCTGGCATTTTTCATATACACGCTGCTACCTGCTTTTATATATAGCTGTACTTTGTGGGTTTTAACTGGATGCTCTATCATAGACAGAAGCAAGTTGTTAGCAAAGTGTAAAATTTGATAAAAATCAAATAAATTAGTAGACTGCAGAGGAGGCCTACCCGTTCCAGACAGCCAGAAAGAGAATGTTCCTGATCTATAAATGTGTGGGTGTTAATAGCTCTCCCAACACGTGTCGATTCCCATAGACAGGGCGGACTCTAGGAAGCCTCCAAGATGGCCCCAGCAATCCTCACCTCTGTGTCCTTGTGGAATCTCCTCTGCTTGGGCTCAATTGGTTGGGCAACTGCCTTCAACTCAGGTCATGATCCCGGGGCCCTGGGATGGAGTCCCTCATCAGGGTCCCCCTGCTCTGTGGGGAGCCAGCTTCTCCCTCTCCCTGCCACTCCCCCTGCTTGTGCACTCTCTCACTCTCTCTCTGTCAAATAAATAAATAAAATCTTAATAAAAAAAAAAAAGAAGAAGAAGAGAAGAGCATTAACATAACTACAGTCTGTCTTAAAAAGAGCTCCACCATCCAAGGAAAAGCCTCTAGGGGTGCTTGTTCACACATATGTACCTGGGCTCATCTTGGCTAAGTGCAGATCTCAGACGCAGCTTGGAAATTGGCCCAACGGGATGGGAAAGCAAGCATGAAAACTGAAGGGAACCACTGAAGGGAAGACAAGCAGCCTCGAAAGAGAAACTGGACCGGAGAGGGCTAAGGGTCTGCGAGCCCTGGGAGAAGCGAAAGGGGGAGTGAAGAGGGCAGATGAGAGGGGGCTGGTCAGGAGTCACCTACATAGGGGAGGACAGCTCAGCTCACCTTGAGAATCAGTTTTGGGACTGAAGGGCCATCCTAAAGATTCAGAACAGTGTCTCTGGCCCTTTAAGGTAGATGGCATTACTGGGCAGGGGCTTGCACGGCAGAGAGGCATTCTGTGAACGTGCACACAGACAACAGTCACTAAAACTCATGCCGATCCTCCACAGCCAGACAACTGAGCAGCCCACAAATACCCCCGAGCGCCCAGGCACACACTACCCAGAAGCCCATGGGGACCCACACTCGCACGCAGACCTGGGCTGGCACAGGTGAGTCACTGCCCCAGAGCATGGCTGGGGTGAGAGCTGAGTCTCGGGGGGCCTCCCTGGAAAAGCTGGGCCCTCTCTGAATAAAAAAGAAAGGAAGATGAGGCTCTGTGGGAGGGACTTTCTAAAGAGCTCCCCCCCGGACTGTCCCCATGAAGGGCATTTCCCTTCCAGCGTTAAGCATGAAGCACATCTCTGATGATACAAATGAGCACCCCTGAGGCTTCCTGAAATGAAGCTGTTCAAAGCCACGGAAGGGACGAGCTCCCCGCCTCTGCGTCCGCCCAACCCCAAACTCCAGGCTTGGAACAGCACCCCCAAAAGGGAGGCTCTGGCACATCAATAACAGGATGCCACGATGATTGTTTGCTCCCCTGGAAGCTGGTAAATAATTCAGGAGAAATGCTTTCTCCCGTTTTAATTAATCCACACAGAATTTCATCAGCAGACACGCACATTCACCCCAGCCAGGAAACAGCAGGTGCCGAGCCTCATTACCCAGCACTTGATGCCGGGGTTGCAAATAGAGACTTCACAGGAAGAAACCCTCAGTTGCACTGGAAGGATGGAAGCTGCCCTGAACAGGAGACCCGGGGGCTTCAGAAACTTTGGGCCTCATCTCCCCCCCTCACCACCCAGTGTCTCACCCTCAGAGCAGAGCGGGGAGAGAAGGAAAGTCCTGCTCACCTTCACCTGGCGGACACCCCGCCTGCAGAAGAGGCACAGTGCACCTGCCGGTACGTTGTCCCGTTCAACGCCCCCAGTCTCTGATCATGGTGCAGCTGAGCCTGCCAAGGGCCAGAGAAGACATGCCTCGTTCAGCATCATTAGGCAGCTGGTGAGGGGTAGAGCTGAGACCCACCCAGGTCTGTGTACCATCGCAGATGCGAGAAAGGATGCCAGGCACTCGGACGGGCCACCTTTTAGGGAGTCCTGGTGATGTGGGAAACAAAGGCAGAATAAAAATAACTAAATTTCCTTACTACCTACAGCTCATTGACAAGTCATTGAAACAGGCAGAGTGAACTTTCTCTAGGGACTCAGCTGCCTCGATGTTTTGCTAAGGGCAAAAGGCAATCTTAGCCCAACCCCCAGGATCCTATAAATCTACTTGAACATATAAAAATTCCTTTAGAAACTTCCTTTATCTCTGTCCCCCCCCACACACACACACACCAAGATACATGTTGGCAATCATCCCCCAAGCATACGACCCACTGATACAAATCTGAATGGTCTCATGACTAAGGTTTTATTAGATGGTAATAAATGACCTTTTCCCAACAATAGCTAGCCCCTCAAGGTCCTGCAAACCTTGCTTCCAAAATTCCTGAGACTTACGCTTATCCCTAACCCTTGTCCAACTTGAAAGTATATAATGGGGGCCACTCCTCATGACCCCAGTGCAGCTCTTTCTGCCCACGGGCCCTGTCCCCCGTGCTTTAATAAAACCACCTTTTTGCACCAAAGGCGTCTCAAGAATTCTTTCTTGGTCATTGGCTTCGAATCCTAACGTCTTTTCCTACAGCACTGGGAAGGTGCTGGGAAAGGTCATCAAAAAAACGTGACTGCCAGGCACGTTTGAACTGAACCCAGGCACTCAGAGCCTCATCCCCACTCCTGTCCGTGGAGCGTGGGTTCTGCTTGCCTTTCACGCTCCCAGAGTCTGCTCCAAGGACATAGTCTTGAGATCATGATGTGGTGTTGAGAACACCTGCATGCTATATATATGCCTGAACCCAATTAAGTATGGCAGGTGGGTACAGGGACCCATTCATCTTGCTGCCGCTGAAACTCCCACCTACCAACCAGGAGTGGCCTGCCTCCTTCTTCAGTCTCTCCCTGCCCTCCACATATGGAGAGGCTTCAGATTACACCCAGCAAGCTCCCTAGAGGGCTTCAGATCAACAGAGGGAAGGGCAGCTCAGAAACAGCAGTGGCTGCTCACCAAGCACACTCACTCTCCAAATGGTGACCTCCCCCAAATTTGTCCACTCCCTGGAACCTGTCCTTGTGTCCTTATTTGGAAAAAGTCTTTGCATTAAGTCAGGGTCTCAAGATAATCCTAAATCATCCAGTTGGGTTTACATCCAATGACAAGTGTCCTTAGAAGACAAAGGCAGAGGGAGATTTGGGAGGGAGGGAGAAGAGGCCAAGTGAGGATGGAGGCAGAGACTGGAGGGACTCAGCGGCAGGCCAAGGACCGCCTGGCGCCACCAGAGGCAGGAAAGATGCCCCTGGAGTCTTGGGATGAAGCAAGTCTCTATTGGCATGTTGATTTTGATGACTGCCTTCCAGAACTGTGAGAGAATAAATCGCTGTTGCTTTAGGCCACGCTGTTTGAAGTACTTCGGTACTGCAGCCCCAGGACACTAATGCGCCTCCCAGGCTCAGCCAGGCCGGACGGACGGCCACCCCAGGCGGCGCGAAGAGAGAGGAGCCCACGAAGGGAAGGCGGGCTGGTGCGCAGCTTGAGCAACAGGAGAGGGGGACCCCTTCGAGGGGGTGCCAGCAGGCTGGAGGCAATGCTGCGAGGAACCGACAGGAACCCAGGTGGAGACTGCGCAGTGGAAGGCCAGCAAAGCTGGGTAAAATTCAGATGCGGCGGGAGCAAATCTGCTCTGTTTCGGGACCAGCTCCAACCACGCTCGACCTTCTAGGAGCCAGAGCGAGGTAGGATGGGAGACAGGGAAGTGTGCGCATGCGTGCGTGCGTCTTCCACGTAGTCTGTGCGGCTACGTGCGTGCGCACGTCCGCGTGCGTGCGTACGCAGGGAGGGCAGGGTACAGAATATCAAGGGTATTAGGGGAAAGTTACCCAAAGAGTGGTTTGACCTTTTTTCTGGCACTTTGCCATACGTACTTTACTTTTCTCATATGTTTTTGCTGTAAAATTTCAGTCTGTGGGAAAAATTATGACAGTTCACAGTAAATATAACAGCTTAAGTCTTCAAAATATTAGAATAATTTCATGTATAATCATAAAGGCAATTTCGTATATAATCAAAAAATTGTAATCAGGCATTAGAAAGTTAACATAATTTCATAATGTCATCTAATGATCTACCTAATCATCTAATATCTAGTCCATAGCCAAATGTTTAAAATTTCCCAAGAATGCCTGTTGTAACTACCTATTTTCAAACTGGTGTCTATTCTAGGTTTATGAATTTCATTTGATTACTCTCTAATCTTCTTTAGTCTGTAATAACATCCCCCCGTGTTTAAAAAAGCGTTTTTGTTGAGATGAGATTCACACGGCATTAACAATTTTAAAGTGTTTCATCCAGTGGCATTTAGTACATTCACAATGCGGTGCAATAATTTGACTTTTTAAATAAAAAAATTTTTAATCGAGGGGTTTTTTCATCATAAAAGTACTACATACTCAATTAAAAATACAATATATGCAAGCAGCATCAAGGGCAGAGTATTCGACCCTGAAATCACTCAGACCAGCAGCCCCTGGAGCCCCCCAGAGAAGCCAGCCCCACAATGTAGACAGCACCATGCCCTAGATCCTTATGACTTCCTCTCTGGAAAACCCATATCCATGCCCAGAATGCTACTGGATGAGGATGGGGGGGGAAGAACTCCTCAAACAACTCACTTAAAATATAAATGTCCTTGAAAGCCCTTAAGGCATGGAGGTGGGAATTCCAGTCCCCCACCCCCAAGCCTTCCTGCCACATACCAACACCCACCTCCTCTAATTTTCACCTTGTCCTCATATCCAGGCTCATACCCCAGGTGGCGGCAGCTGACCCCACTCTCCTCCACGATTGCCTCCTTAGGACCCAGGACCCAGGGGGTGGTCGGTGTGGTGATCTCACCCCTGCCATTTTCAGCAGCCAGAAATGGGAGGTGAAAGACCCAGTGTAGCTCCGACAGAATGTTGTTCCATCATAGACAGTGAAGTGCCCTGAAGACTATGGGGTGTGAATGTCTCTGTAAAGGGCGCTGAGTGGTAGGTCAGCTGTCCCCGGCACCAGAAAATGAGGCAGAATAGGGACAGAACCTCTTGCAGTTCATCTGCTGGATCCAGAGCTTTGGGGCCACAGCCTGGTGTGACCCTACCACCTTTCCCATCCCGACCCAGCCCTTCCTGACCCATCTCAGGATCCAGTGGCAAAATCCACTGTCAGGAAAGATGAGCAGCATTTCAACCTTGGTGTGCATCTGTCCACGTGCTCGCTCCCCTGGGAGAGGAAGATGAGAGAGAGAGAGAGAGAGAGAGAGATTTCATGCGAAGTGGCCTCAGCCTCATTTCAGCCTCACTGAACAATGAGCACAATGACCCCGTGGAGTGGCCATTCCCAGAGTTACAGATAAAACTGAGGCCCCCAAAACTTAAACTGCTTGCCCAGAATGTCATCTTGGAAGTTGGCAGAGTATAATCTGAAGCCAGGTTTGCCTGTTTCTGAGTCCCCTCAACCAAGTGGAAATCAACCACCTCCATCTGACTTCATTCTGTACTCTTTTGAAGATTTTCTTTATTTGAGAGAAAGAAAGAGCGCGCGCGCACAAGCCAGGGGAGGGACAGAGAAGCAGACTCCCCACTGAGGGAGAGCCCAATGGGGCTCAATCCCAGGACCCTGGGATCATGACCCGAGCCAAAGGCAGACGTTTAACCGACTGAGCCACCCAGGCGGCGCCCAGTCTGCGCTTTCTAATTAATTTCTCCTTTCTAGCTTATCTCCTAACTCAGGCAAAAGACCCTGCGGGTAAAGTATCCAGTGGTGGGAACCAAAACTCAAGCCCCAAGGACTGCCCTGAGCCCGCAAGACCCCGCGTGATTGACCCTGAGACAATGATCAACCTGACCTTCACTGCCCACCGGCACGTACCCACCCACCTTTGTCCCACACTGTCCTTAAATAAACCTAGAAGTGTTTTCAGCACCTTGGAGACATATATATGGATATATAAGACTGTCTTCCCACTGCCGCCTCACCGAAATAAATTCCTTTCTTGTTTCCCCACCACTCGTGTCTCTGCCTTTGGATTCTGTCATTGGCGAGAGGCTGAGCCTGGTCTGTTTGGGACCCCGGAACCAGTTGCCTGTGCGCGTCCCCCCACTACAGTGGCACAGGGTGAGATCATCCCCTCAGCAGCCCCAAGTGGCCACACCGTGTATCTTCCTGCCCTGCTCCTGAACGAGGAGCCTTCCGCACACCTGCTCCCCAGCACAGATGCCCCGGGAAAGGCAGCTCCCCGGGTGCCCCAGGGACTAAAGGCAGAATGGTTTCTGCTGGAGAAGAAGCCCTAAAGCAATTGCAGATGGGTGTGAGCAAGCTGATCGTCTCAGCTTATTGCTGCTTGCGTTCTGTCCTTAAAACCTTCCCGACGCCCCATTGCTGCCTGCATGTCAGGAACCTACCCTCCACCTTAATAAAACCAATCCCAGTCCTACCAAGTGAGAAGTGAGAGAGAGACCATATCCAAGGGGAGAGTTAATCTTAGAATCTTGGGTAAGAAGAGTCCACTGCAAAGTCAGTGCCCTGTCGCCACCCACCCACCCACCTAAGTGCAGACACTGGATTTTGTTCAGGGAGTGAGTGGTTTCCTTTCACTGCAGAGAAGAGAGAGACAGGGGCGCCTTCATCTTTCCCACATGGAGCTCCCAGAGGAAGCTTGGGAGACAAGGGGAGGGTGTAAGCCTCCCAAGACCCTCCTCTTGGGGCTTTTCAATCCCCTCCACTCAGGCCTGTCATTTTCCACCCAGAGGAGGCATCTCAGAGCAGCAGGGATCCCTGTTGGCTCAGAGCTCAGCCCCAGGTTAGAGCAGAAGGACGGAAGTCTCTCCTTCAGAGTGGGGCTTGTCTGTGCCAGAGGACCCCCGGCCAGAAGCCAGCGCCCTCTGGGATGAAGCTGCAGTAGTCACTTCTGGGAGAGCTCCCAGCCTCTCTCCCTAACAGTCTGGGACCAAGCAGTTATGCAATTCTGGCAAGCTGAGAAGTTATCAAAAGATAAAATCTATTCTCAGGAAATCAACAGAGAACTGAGGACAAAGCAGGAGAAAACAACACAGACCCTCTGGGACTTTCCAGCTAATGACATATGCCATCAGTCCTTTGGGCGTAAGCAGCCCACCCCAGTGAAGGCAGGAGGAAAGGTGCACAGCGGGCCCCGGGGCAGTCACCGGAGCAAAGCCAGTGGACAGCCCACTATAAGGGCTCGGGGAGAAGTGTATTCATTTTTCCAGGTCTACCATAACAAAATGCCACAAACTAGGAGGGTTAAAACAACAGGAATGTGTTCTCACACGGTTCTGAAGTCCAGAAGTCTGAGATCAAAGTGTCACCAGGACTGGGTTCCTTTGGAAGCTCCGAGGGAGAGTCTGTTCCAGGCCTTTTGCCTGGTTCCTAGGAGTCACTGGCAAATCCTTGGCGTTCCGTGGTTTGTAGCTACATCACTCCTGTCCCTACCTCTGTCTTCGCAGGTCAGGAACCTACCCTCCACCTTTCTCTCTGTGTCTCTGTGTCTCAGATTCCTCTCCTGTTTCTTAGAAGAAACCAGCCATCAGATTCAGGGCCCTAAATCCACAGTGACCTCATCCTGAGATCCTCAAGTTCATCTGCCAAGACCCCATTTCCAAATAAGGTCACATTCATAGCTTCCAGAGGCTGGGATATGGAATATCTTTGGGGGGGGGACAATATTCAACCCACTACAGAAGGGTCACTGGCTCATCCTAGGCGGGAGGGGAAAGAACAGGGAAATTCATCTAAGTCCCAGTAAGGGCAGCTCAGGCTGGTTGGCAGCCAAGTCCTCCTGCGGCCAAGTGTTGAGGGATGCCTTCACTGCAGATGTGGGGAGGGATGAATGACCCTGAAGTCAGCCTACGGGTTCCCATGCTGTATTCACAGAAGAAAGCCCAGCGGACCTCGGAGAGCATCCAGGGCCAGGAAAAGCCACTGAATTCCTCCTCGGGCATAAGTGCTCTGCCATAAGGGTGGTGACAGTGGATCAGGACCCCTCCTTTGAGCCCACATTTAGCCCTGGAGCCCCCTCAGGTGACGTGCAGCAATATGAGACATTCCGAGGCAAAATACACATATTCCTGTTCCCTAGTACTTTCTAGGAACTGTAGAACTGGAGGAGAAAAAACAGACCCTTGGTTTAAAATGAGCTTATATATTGGTTTCAACTGTTGCTTTCCAGCTTTCCTGTTTGTGTTTTCTTCTTAGGTCAAGGGCAACAAGAGCTAAATGAATCACCCCTACTAGAGCTTGTACGTTATTATGCTCTTAGGCAAAACCACTTTCAAAAGAGTAATATCTGGAAAGGTTTTCAATTTTCCACAAATTGAGTTATCAGTGCCTTCCAAGGAGGGAATGGAAGATACGGACAATCTGTGAACTCGGGGACTTAAATAGGAACATGAGAAAACGGCCACAAGCCGCAGGCTAATGAGGGATGCCTCGCACCAACCCAGAGGAGATGTGCAGAGGGAGCCAGAACAGCCCAGCAGAAGCTTCATGTGAGGGCTTAGTGGAAGCTCACAGTGCGTTTGCATCTCCTACACCAACTCAATTCCTCTTCCTTCCCTGCCCTCAGCGTTAGCCACACCAAAGGAGACGCCTGCCTCCAGATGCACACAAGCCAAAGGCATGAGCGGACCATCCAAAGCAGGGCGCCAAAGGACAGGAGCCTCATTTCTGCACCTGCAGATTTCTTTCCTGCAAGATGGCCAACCGGCATAGTAATACCTCCATGCCTCCTGGCTGGCAAGAGACCGGGTCCACCCTCCACCTGGCACTTGTTAATTTTTTTTTTTTAATTCTTGTTTTTCTTTCTTTTTTTTTTTTTTTTAAAGATTTTTATTTATTTGACAGAGAGAGCACAAGCAGAGGGAGAGAGAGGGAGAAGCAGGCTCCCTGCTGAGCAAGGAGCCCGATGTGGGACTTGATCCCAGGACCCTGGGATCATGACCCGGGCCGAAGGCAGCCACTTAACCGACTGAACCACCCAGGCATCCCCGGCACTTGTTAATTTTGCAAGTAGTGCAGGATTTGAGGGCTGGGGGCCTTGGCTAAGTCTTTTGCCCAAGCTTTGGGAATTACTCTGAAGCTACTAGCTAAGGGCTGGTGGTGTTTGGTGACCAGGGACATGGAAACAAAGAGAGGTGGACCTGGTCCAGTGGGGGTCTCCACCTGCATACGAATCAGTGTGTGTCCCAGCTCACAGAAACCCTCCACGCCATCATGTTCATTCACACGCTATTTTTCAGATGAGGAAATTCAGTCTGAGAGAGTCCATGAGCTGCTTCCAGGCCCCTGGCAGGGACCAGAACCCCAGTTCCTCATCTGCCCAGAAGAGTAAGCAAAAAAAAAAAATCCGAGGAGGAAAGAAGGGACTCGGAAAGAGAGCCCCTGGCCCATGCTCCAGCATCTGGAGCTTTGCCTGGCCTTGGGTGATGTAGGACCTGCTAGGTAGCCCCTGCACCCCAACTCTATCCTCTCCTAAATCCTGCTGGGTTGTTAGGCAGATGCCCTCTTATTCCAGTTGAGCAGACCTCGTTTGTATCCAACATTTGTCACGCTCCCTAAAGTTCTGGGAGGGCAGAGCTCTATTACCTTTGCTCCCTAACGTACGGCAGCTGCTTGGTATTTGCTGGATTTATCTCAATAAGTGAGCATGCCTTACGCATATATTCATAAAGTTGGGAGGATTTTCCGCTTACCTGGTTGCACTCCCTCACCGGATCCCCCTTATAACAAACAATATACATCTAACAGGCAACCGTCCAGAGTTACAGGTGCCGGGTGAGGCTACATGGGAATGACACCAAATATCTACTGAGCAGCATGTCAGGTCTGTAGTCTGCATTACAAAGGAACTGTAGGGTCCCCTAGTGATGGCTATGTGCCATTGTGCGTTTGTCCACACCCGCAGATTCCGCGGCACCCGGTGAACCCTGATGTTAACTCTGGGCTTCCTGTGGTGATGATGGGTTAGCACATGTTCATCGATTGTAGCAAAGCACCCCCTGGTGGGGATGTTGATAGTGGGGAAGGTTGTGTATGGAGGGGCAGGACAAGAGATATATAAGAACTCTCTGTACTTTCCACTCGATTTTGCTATCAACCTAAAACTGCTCTAAAAAAGTAAGTCTATTAAACTGGTTTTTTTTTATTTTAAAGTAAAACTTAACGGATTTATGAAATCAGTGAGTTTTTGCCCAACCTGACTCCCAGTGGTAGATGGGAGAAGGACTCCCACATTTATGTTGTCCAACCTGCATTTGACAGACCCCGTGGCGCTGATGCTCGGGAAGAAAAGCCCAAGGGGCTCCAGGAGAGACGCTGGCTGATGGATACTTGTGGCCAAGGCTCCAGGGAGGGGAGGAGGGCCCAAGGTGGACTCGTAGGGCCCAGGCAAGGCTTGCATTACTTTGCAGCCTGATTTCCAGTACCACAGTCATATCAGCCAGTGGATTAGAGGTGACATCAAAATCCAGGCCATCAGCTTTACGTGGGTCCCTCCAGGACAGAGTTTGTGGGAAGCACTGGCTCGTCAGGACGTAACTACCCTCTCGAACAAGCAAATGGGAGGGGTGCAGAAAACCAGGGTGCGCTCCCCCCCCAGAAGCCATAGCCCAGCTGAGGAGGAACAAGGAGCACGCACTGCTGTGACAAACTACACAAACTCAGTGGCCTCAAACAACACACATTTGGGCGCCTGGGTGGCTCAGTCGGTTGGGCGACTGCCTTCGGCTCGGGTCATGATCCCGGAGTCCCGGGATCGAGTCCCGCATCGGGCTCCCGGCTCGGCGGGGAGCCTGCTTCTCCCTCTGACCCTCTCCCCTCTCATGCTGTTTCTCTCTCTCTCTCTCTCAAATAAATAAATAAATAAAATCTTAAAAAAAAAAAAAACAAAAAAACAACACACATTTATTCTCTTAGAGCTCCAGTGCTCCGAAGTCCGAAATGGGTCTCACTGGGCTCACATCAAGGTGTTGGCCGGGCTGCGTTCCTTCCGGAGGCTCCAAGGAGAAGGTCTGTTTCCTTGCCTTTTCCAGCTTTTAGAGGGGTTTCTTGGCTCGTGGCCCCTTCCTGCATCTTCAGGATCAGCAGTGTGGATGGAATCCTACCCCTCTCCCACTCTCACCTCTGCTTCTGACACCCCTCTCCTTCCCTGTCTCTAAGCATCCTGCCTCCCTCTTACAAGGACCCTGTGATTAGAGGGGCCCACCCAGATCACCCAGGACAATTTTCCCATCTCAGGATCCTTAACTTCATCACAGCTACGGAATCCCTTTTGTTGTACGAAGCGACATTTTCACAGGTTCTGGGCATTAGGACCGTGGACATTTCGGGGGCCATTATTCTGTGAACCACATCCACCAAACCATTAAAGTGACAAATTATATGGAGATGATTTTACTCAAAGAGATGAATTTGACCCATTCTCAGCAAGGCAGCCCCTCTCACTGCCAAAATGCCTCACAAGCATTCCGCCTCAGCTAATTTTTGCCACCTCCTAGAACAGGGGCTCTCGGTGGGAGGCGGTAGGGACATTTGGCAATGTCTGGAGATATTTTTGGTTGTCACAACTTGTGGGGGTGGGGGGGATGGTGGTGCTACTGGGACCCAGCAGGGAAAGGCAAGGGATGGTCCAGTTCCTGCACTGCACTGGATGGATGCTTCCAGAACACAGAATGATCCAGCCCAGATGCCCAAGGGGTCAGGGCTGAGAAACCCTGCTCTGGGCAAGACTCTGGGCCACAAGAGGGCAAGAGGCATCCTACGGCTCTGGGCAGAATGGAAGAGATGTGCCTTCAGATCCACCAGTAGACTGAAGACGCAGGGGCAGGGACAGCCCAGAGCAACTCCCAAGCACTCCCCTACCCGAAAGGCACATGGCATCTCTCTGTGACTCCCACCTCACCAGCGCCCTGGGCACTGAACCCCCACACTGCACAGACCCTGCTCCAGCCTCTCATTTCCCTCCCAACACCTGGGACTGCTGTTTCCCTTGCCCGGTGCAGACACTTGAAGGTACTTTGTTGCCGTGAGATACTTGTAATCTCATTTTTCATTGCATGAAATGAAATCCACTCTGCAGGCCACCCCACCCCCACCCCCTGCCCCAGGGCCCCCGGGTCATTTGTCATCCTCACTCCCAGGGGACATTGGCAAAGAGCATAGTGAGATCTTCTTTCAGCAGCCTCTGTCATTTTTTTTTTTTCCTATTTCCAAGCCTGAGTGTTAATACTTGCAGGCTTGACTGGGTTTAAATTGGCTTTACCGTGGATAGCTTGCAGTTTCCAATAACACAGAGAGACAAGTGGTAAAAAATGTGCACAGAAGAGCATAATTTGGG